CCAGAAGAAGATGAAGATGAAGCTGAAGAGGGGAGCAACAGCACCAGCGAAGAACACGAGCTCAGGGAACTCAGAGGTTGGAGAAACAGAGGCGCGAAGAGAGAAGAAGATGAACAGAGAAGGTGAATGATTCAAAGATGAAAGGGTTGTTTTGTGAAAAAGACAAAAGGCAAAAAGGGCGGGACTGTTCGAATTTTTCGTAGTACGAGGGCGGCGTGACAGCTGCCCATAGCCTATCAGAGCCTGCTACGTATCATTAGAAAGTGAAGCGTTACAGTCACTGATTGAAGAGACGTTTTGACCGAACGAGAAGAACCCGGAGTAAAATTAGCTCGGCTGGAGAGGCTAAACGGTTTTTTAGCTCGGCTGGAAAGGCTTAAAAACTTCAGCTCGGCTGGTAGACAGGTAATCCCAATCATGCTGTGCAGATGGAATTAAAGGGCAATTGAGAGGGTAATTTTTGGTAAAAATTGGGCCGAGCTATGAGATAGACTTTATGGCCCAAAGTATGAAGGACTGGGTAAAAAAGCCGAAAAAGTTACTCCGGTCCAAGAATTGTAAAGATACTCCGGCCCAAGAGAGACAAGGTTACTCCGGTCCGAAAGCAATTTGGAGTTAGGCCGGTCTCGATAGTAGTCCGGTCATGATGTATTCTGAATAGAGCGGTCTAGCGGTACCTTTGCGTTAGACCGGTCTTGGAGTTATACCGGTCGCGATTTGTTAGTTCGGTCCAACCATGCCATGTGCTGAGCATGAGAAGCCGACATAAGAGAAGTGAAAGAAAGAACTAGTTCGGCTTATTCTGCGGCTATACATAGCCGTGGGTACTTCGGTCAAATGGTAGTTCGGCCATGGTAAAACCATCCCACTTGGTTTAAGCAGTTGGGGGGGTGTAAAAGGATAAGCATTATCCTTTAGGAGTATGAATCCTAGGAGGACTCTGCATGGAGGAGTAAAAGTCCTACTAGGAATGTGCCATTCGAAACTTATAAAAGCTCACAAACATCACTTCGGAGGAGATAACGCAACACACAATTTTGCTTTCTGAATACACTGAGCTCTGTCTATTTGTCAAGTTTGCTGACTTAGACATCGGAGAGGTTTTCGGCACACACCCGCCGCCTAGCTCATGTTTGTGTTTTCAGGTGACAAAGCGACGTCGTACGGAGAAGCACGGACTTAGTCAACAGGATTATACGAGAAAGTATATTTCTTTCCCGTACAAATGTTATACAACTAAATTTTTTATACATAAAGTTTTTTAAGAGTAGAATAGCAAAATTCTATTGATACATAAAAATTATACAAAAAAATTCACAAGAATGTTATGGTAATATCATTATTATATATGTTAGGTTTTTATTCTTGATAATCTCGTTTGACACATTTTCTTTTAGTTATAATTTTATTCGTTCTTTTATTTCAGTAAGGTTATGAGTTTTAAATGTGAATCTAACCTGAATTGTGCATTGCAAAGAAGTATCAGGAATTAATTCTTTTACGTTTGCCATTTCGCTGACTATGTCGGGATCGAGCTACCCGGTCAACTCGCGGGGTCTAGGGGGCTCTCAGGCGGGGTCGAAGGGCAGCACCCCCAAAGCAAAAGGAGAAATTACAATTGAAGTTGTTTGTTCGCTCGAGCGATCATTCTTGCACTTGAGCAGAGATCGTGATCTTTTAGAAGTTTCACTCGTCTGCAAAAGTACTAGGAGTTGTTTTTTTCCACTCGAGCGGGCATTCTTGCGCTCAAGCGGACATCCCATATTTGTTTTCTATAAATATGTGTTTCAGTCCGATTTTAGGGTACGGCTTCCAGATCTTCTTTTTTGGTATTAGGGTTTTTTTCTGGAGTTTGTTTTCTTGTTTTCCTTTGATATATGTGAGAGTTTAATCATGTATTGAGTGGATTATATCAAATGGTTTGTTTAGTTTGTTTTATTCACAAAAGCGAGAGTTCTTCTTCAGTGAATTCTATGGAATTTGGGCCTAAAACTTTGGTGGATTCTAGAGTGGTTCATCATCGTGGATTTACCATCGATGTTGTGGATTCAACGTTGGGTAAACAATTTCGAGGTGAAAACCATGGTGGAAGAGGCATATAGGAGTCGGTTCAATTCGAGCATGGATTCGTTAGGTAATTAAGAGTATACTTGTGTAATTCCTTTTGTCTTCTTAGTGGATTGTTTTGTGGCTTTGGCTCGTGGTTTTTTTTATCACAATTGGAGGTGTTCGAATTGTGATTTTTTCATGTTAAAATATTTGTGTTGATTTGTCTTGATTGTTTGATTGGGATTGTTATTTATTGCTTAAAATTGATACATAATCACAAATCAATATCTAGGAAATTTCTAGATTTTTCAGTACATAAATTCATCTTCAATGGTATTTTGTTTTGAAATAAAAAGATTCACAATAAGTTATATCATTATATATAAATTTTTTATTTGTATAGTATTACTCTTTAGAATAATATGGTAGTGGTTTTTTTACAATTCAAATAGTCTACAATGATATGCGTGTTTTGGTTAAAATAAAAATTTTAGAATAAATTTTTGAAAGAAATTGAAAACTAAGTGAAAAATAATAATAAATCAAAGCATTTATCATTTTCATAACAAAAATAAACTTTAAAAATTCAAAAATATTATGTAGGTGTTTATTTTGTCAAATTAATTTATATATATTTTTAAAAATTTGGAAATCTAATTATGAAATTGAAACCAAGCAGAGATCATTCTATATGAAGTTTTTGTATAGAAATTTTGTTTGTAACTAAATTTTTCTTTATATATATACCATTGTTAAGGAAGAAGAGAACCTCTTCATCTTGTTCTATATAATTTAGAATATAGAAGCAACACCAATAATATGTAATTGTTTCTGGATTTGGTCTAAATGACAAAATTCAATAATTTGAACATCATTTTCTGTAATGACTACCAATTTTCATGTATTCTTGCAATGGAAAAAAATATTGCAGGACTCCCAAGCTCTAATTTTAAGGTTTGTCATGATCACATGTGAAAGTGGCTTGCATCAACATTTTGACTTCCAAATTTTGCATTTAAAAATTACTACTGTTTTTATATCATTCTTGGGTACAGTTAGGTCCCAATGACATGGCTGCTTAATAGACAAGATTCAAATTTTTAAGTTGTAACTGGAAAAATGAACTGAGACCACAAACATGTGAAGAACAACCTTTCAAGTTACCAACATATTGATTTAATGGATTTTGCATTTCAAAAATTAAGTGATAGGAGCAGGTGATGTTATAATAGGTGATAGATGATACAGTTAGGAATAATTTTAGTATTTCCACTTAGGGATAGACAAACCTCGGACCGAGTTGTCTGGGCCGAGCAGGATATGTACTATATAATGAGAAGATATCTGTTATGCCCAGTTCCGCTTATTCCGATATTGGGTCTAATCTAGCCATTTCAAGTTTGACTCTAAAAAATATTTCATATCTTAAGCCCGCCCGTTTAACCCAATAGACATAGGCTATCAAAGTTTTCTTTATTTATTTATTTTTTTGTTTTGAAGAGATACTAAATTATTTAAATCATTTAAATTATTATTTGAATTTGAAATATTAACAAAATAAAATAGTAAAATCAATATGAAATATTAACAAAATAAAATAGTAAAATCAATATGATCTTTTAATTAAGTCTTAGAAAGAATTATATATCTATATTATCTTTTATAAAAAACTTTACTTTATTTTCTAACTAAAATAATGTAAAATTATAATTAATATTTTATAAAATTGTGGAACATGCTAAACTAGGCTAATTTTATAAAATAATGGACCAGGCTAAACTAGGCTAACACTTTGTATCCTAAGCCCAACTCAAATATTAAATGGGCACGAATTCTCAACCTAACTTGACTTGGTGAGCTAAACATTTTTTTAACAAATCTTAAAAATATTGAACTAAACTGGACAAATTGAGAGGGCCATCAAACCCATGGCTATCCCTACTTCCACCCAACATTGATAAGATTTAAACCCTAATTTCTCTCATGAAAATGTTGAAAAAATGACATTAAGTTACAAAGCCATTAACATGTGTATCAAGAACAAAAGCTTATCAATCAAAACATATAATATGTACTCCACCACTAAGCTATAATTAACCTATATATATATATATATATATTTTTTTTTGATAACCGAGTTTCCGAGCCAGTACCCCTTAGGAGTGACGCACCTCGACTAATCTTGAGGGTAAGTAGCCTGGGGGAAGCCGTGTACCTTTTTCAAACTGCTGCGAGGCGCCTCTTGGGAGATTCGAACCTGAGACGTTCGCCTAACCCACACATCCTAGACCCAAACCCCAAGAGGAAACCCACTGGGCTACACCCCCGCCCCCCCTATAATTAACCTATATGTATACTTATCAAGATCAAAAGTTGGTCAATCAATACATATGCCATCATATACCCACTAAGCTCCTTTACAACATTTCACATATTAGATATTGCATAGGTGGAACGGTTTAGGGAGTATGTTATTGTATTGAGGTGTGAGGTGTCTTGAAGATTTGTAATTGTATTGGACGAGGTTTGTGAGGTGTTTGGAGTTGGAATCTCTTTAACTTCTTTTGGAGGTTTGGAGATGCACATGATTACTCTTATTTTGGGTGTCAATCTAGTTGGAACACTTAGCTAAGATAATGATGCATCTTCTTTCCAAATTTTTATATCTTTTATTATTTAATAAATTTTTGCTTGCTTGATGGTGTGGGTCCTACGCATATATGAGTGAGTCTCACACATATTGAGATTCAAAGAAAATTGTGCGGATCTCCAAAAAAAAAAAAAAAGAAGTTCCAAGCATTTTTCAAAAAAATATACCCACTAAGATGAGTGATGGATCATAGTTGTCACCAACATCTAAACACACGGCAAAAGTACAGAAATCTGGGATAGTTGTGGTATATATCAGCCACAAAGTTTAGTCCACCTAATTGATAAAATGCCAAATCAACACTTCCACTATATGGATTTCAATATCAACATTATTTCACTTCAATCAAAACTACACATTTTGAGCACCAACCTTGCCATCAGCAACTCTAAATAGCTGAATCTCCATGCAATGCCACTCATAGAAAGCTCTCATTGATCTCATATACTTGCTCAAGATAGTACATTATACTAATTGCATTTATAGGCACCCTCTTGAGTTTTCTTTGTTTCCAAACACCTGTTTACCATATTTTCTTATAACTCAATCACAAAAATGGCTAGTGTGAAGTCCCTAGCATATTTTGCCTTGCTTCTTCTTGTTACTTTTGCTATTGTCTGTGGGAGTAGGGTGGCAAGAAAAGACTTGGGTGTGGATCTTGGTGGTGTAGGAGTTGGGGTTGGAACTGGTGTAGGCTTGGGCTTAGGGAGTGGATCAAGTGGTTCAGGAGCTGGATCCGGGTCTGGATCAGGGTCTAGTTCTGGGTCAAGTTCAGCTTCATCAGGATCTGGGTCGAGTTCTGGGTCTGGTGCAGGTTCTGAAGCAGGTTCGTATGCCGGGTCCTACGCTGGGTCTAGGGCAGGGACAGGTTCTGGAAGCAACAAGGGACGCGGAGCAGGATCTGGATAGGGTCAAGGTCATGGGCAAGGTTCAGGAGAAGGGTCGGGATCTGGATCGGGATATGGTAAAGGCAGTGGTTACGGGTCAGGTTATGGTGAAGGGAATGGTTGCAACTAAGAACATGTCATCCTAACAATAAAAAGTAAAATATTTGTCACCCTTTTTTGTGTATAAATAAGTTGAATGGTGATTGTTATCATGAGAATCTTGTATTTTATTTTCTTTGAATCTATTTCTCGATCTTATGAATATTATCTAGTTCAAAAGCCTTTATGCTTTGTATCAATAATATATATAATCTACTTTACCTGTTTCTTTCACAATTTAACTCTATTTTTTTTATTATTTTATTTTGGTTTGACAATTATATCTTCAGTTTGCCTTCTACCCAAACAGCAATGCCATTGTTATGTTGAATGGTTTCAATCGTATAAATTTCGGCAACTTAATTGCCAAAGTTCCATGGCAATTAGAGAGCAACTCAGTAGATATTTTAAATGAGAACTTGTAAAAGTGACCTTATATATCATTTTTTTTTTTTAAATAAAAGTTTTATTAGTTTTATTGTGATAAAAGAGAATCTTCTCAAATAATATTTTTTGTCCAGTCATTATTTAACGGTTGATCTAGAAGTCATACTGACTAGTTGTTGAATTATGACATTTAGATCAACTGTTTGAATTTTGACTTTTGAATCAACTATTAGATGATAATTAGATAAAGAAAGTGTGAGAGAAAATCTGAATCCATAAAGTAGTTATATAATACCATAAAAACATTCACCTTTTATTTGTTTTGAAATTGACATATGTAAAATTAAAAATGAGAGAGCAATTTATGCTGAAGTGTTGGGCCGGGCTAATCTCAGTGAGGCCTTGATGTCTGGGTCGATTAGACGAACATAGCATGAGCTTGGGTTGGACTACGTTTATATCGGCCTAGTTGATTGGGCTGGGCAATACTCATGAGTCATATCCCACTGTTTGCCGAGGACATCATCCTTAAGAATTAGACTTCTAGTGGGATGTTGTAGGTCCTAGCGTGCGGGGTAAATTTCGTGTCCACACAGAAACATTAAAAATTTCTTTTAAATTTTATACTTCATCTTCTTAAAATATTACTCTATTATTTCATTTTTTATTATATCAAAACAATAGTTCATTTTCAAAAATCAATAACAAAAATAATATGAATTTCTTATTTAACCCTTCTTTTAAATTCATTAACAACGTAAAAAGTGTAATTATAACAATTGATATTTCTAAAAAAATGTACTATCGAAGGGTAATTTTAGAAAATTAATTTTTTTTAAGTACAATAATTGTACTATCAAAAAAAGTTAAATTCTCCAAAAAGAACTATTATTTTGGGATGGATAGAGTAATAAAAGTAAGGTAAATTATAAATACACCTCCTAAGGTTTATTAAAAATACAGATTATTCTTTGTGGTTTGAAAATTTTCAAATATCTTATTGTAAAAAAAATTTATTTAACAGAATTAATTATAAAATAAAATAAAATTTCTAACTGATCTCCTATATAATAATAAAATTAGCTGAATTATTAATTGAACTATATTTTAGAGATCATTAAAAATTGTTAATTAATTTGAGGATTTATTGATAAAATGGATTATTTATTATGAAACGGAAAATAAAAAATATAAACTCACTTTTTAGACCCATTTTATAGATTCAATGATGCATAAGTGATGTAATTGGTTGATGATTGGAGAATTTATGAGAGAGATTGTTACCTTTAATATCTTAATTGATTGTCACATTATTGGAGTAGGATGTAATTTGCATAACCGCAACAAGCAATTCATATTTTAAATAAATCTCATCAGATATGTTTGTAATTTACCCTAAAAAATATGTTGTGACATAAATATTCTGAATAAAAAATCATCTTACCCCATCGTCCTTTAAAAGGGTAATTTATATAAATATGTATGATAATTTTACGATATTAATTTATGGGGATAGCTCCTCTCTATGAACCGCACCGCGCTATTTTGACCCGTGGAGTCACCATTGGTCTCACATCGATAATTCAAATCGTTCATTTTTTAGACCACACGTATAAATTATCCATAAAAAATTCAAATCAATCCGATAACCGTACATTAGTTTATGCCATTTAGTTGTAAAAAAATGAATGACAAATATTATTTGAAAATTAGACTATTCATATTTTGGGAGACGAATGCAATAAACTAACATGGTTATATGTTATTGGATCGACTTAATTTTTTTATGAATAATTTATTTATTGTGACTTAAAAATAAACAATTTAAATTATTAAGATGGAACACGTGGTGAATTCCATGGGCCAAAACAGTAACCATCTATTTCACAAAGTGTGGACTGAAGAGGAGCAAGGTACCTCCAAAATTTATAACATATAATATATATAACATTTTATGGTTGTAAAAACTATAGCTAAATAGGCAATGACTTGAAATTAAAAAGTGATTTATTTATATCTATATACTATAAGAGTTGTTTTGAGGGTTGCGTTTTGCTTTCTTGTTTTATCCCTTCAATTTAGCTGGTGTAACTAATTTGGCCGAAGGTTTTTTCCGTAATTATATAAGGAGTTTTGGTTAGTTATGAAATATGAATTTTTTTTTGGTAAATTACAAATATACTCTTGAGATTTATTTAAGATATGAATTCCCCCATATAGTTCTGGAAATTACATCTACCCCTTGTTAGAATTTTTAATTTAACATAATAAATAGAAAAATAAAATTTTTAACTATTTTCCTATCCTATAATAAAAATTATGGGTAAATTACAAATACACAACATGAGATTTGTTTAAAATATGAATTCTCCCTGTGATTCTGAAATTAATTACAGCCGTTCAAATTTCTAATTTTATAACAAATGGTCATTTTTGTTAATAAATCATCAAGTAAATTAACAATATTTAATGATGTCAAAAATATATTTCAATTAATAATTCAAGTAATTTTATTATTATATAGGAGAGTAGTTAGGAATTTCATTTTTCAGTTAATACTATTAAATAAAAAATTCTAATGAGGGAATATTTATAATTTCTCAAACCATATTAGGAAATTCATATTTGAAGCAAATCTCAAGTGGTGTGTTTGAAATTGACCCTAAAATTATCAAAATTATTAATTGAAAGATATTTATTATCTCATTAAAAATTGTTAATTAACTTAATGACTGATTTATTAATAAAATAGATCAATTATTATGCGAGTGTGATTTATTTATTAATAAAATTAATCATTTTTTTCTTATTTTTTCTTTTACTTTTTAGATGCATCAAAATTAGATATATATAAAAAGTACAAAATAAATTAACTATATAATGAAAAAAATTATTAAAAATAAATGAAAATCCAAAGAAAAATGCACACAAGATTTTGTTCATATTTTCAATTGTTTTTAGTGAATTTTTTAATAGTTTAGTTAATTGATTTTACATTTTAGTGCATCGGGGTCCAAAAAGTATAAAAAAAATAAAAAAAAAATGTGAAAAAAATTCATTCACGCAAACAAAAATCCATCAAAAATAAATTTTAAAAAAATCTAACCAAACAGAATAATTTGTTTGAAATAGCCTGTATGGGTTTAAAAATAATTTTTAAAAAATCAGATCACGACAAATAATTTGTTAGAAGATTAGGGGTGTAAATTTCGCATGGCCCTGACCTGGCCTAGCCCACCTGGGCCTAAACCTGGCTCGGGACATATCAGGCCTCATGGGCTACTACGAAAATTCAGGTCAATCCCGTCCGACCCACGGACTAGAAAATTAAGCAACGACCTAGGCCCAGAGTGTATTCGGGCCTTAGGCAGGTTGGTGGGCCGAGCTCGGGCCGGACCAGTGATCCTGAGCTTGGGCTCATGTGTTGGGCGGGCTTGAACAATTTTTTTGTTTTTATTTTTTCTACTAAAATTCTATTATTTTTCACTGAAAAAAACATTGGGCCTCGAGCGGGCTGGGCCTTGAATGGGCCTTAGGCGGGTTTATGGGCTAGACCACGGGCCGAGTTGGGCTTCAAAATCATGGCCCAGGCCCAGGGTCTTGGACTGGGCTCGGGTCCTAGCCCAAATGGGTCTAAACGGGTTAGGTCCACCCTGGGTTGCGGGCGGGTTTCAGGCTTTGCACAGGCTGCAGGCCATTTTTACACTCCTAAAAGATTTGTATTTTTGAAATTTAAATTTTCAACAATAATAGCACGTAGGGAGGGCAATTTGAACTCGACTCGACGAGGACCTGGCCCCCCGACCCTACTTAGAATGGTTTTTTTGTTTTCGAAAAATACCCTCGACAGGCCGGGGATGGCATTCGAAATTGAATCCTCGACAAACATTTAAACTTAAATAAATTAGATATACCACTTTGGCGCAACAATTACATTGCTTTAGTAACTTTGTCGGTGATGCTTTCATAATGTATGGAGATAAAACCAAGTATGGACATAACATAATTCAGGAAATTGTAGGAGAGTAGGATGTGATAGTGTAATTATTTAAAATTTCTATGCTAACCAATCAGACAAATGTCATTTAAATAATTCAATTATGCATAATGGTGCCTCTGTTTACTATGTTTACTGTGATGCCTCTGTTAAATAATTTCTATGCTGCCTTTGTTAAATATGTTTACTATGTTTACTATAGGAAATTCTAGGAGAGTAGGAAATTCTAGAAGAGGATGATGTTTACTATGTTTACCAATCAGGCAAAATTTCTATGCTGCATCTGTTAAATAATTTAAAATTTTGTTTACTATGTTTTGTTAACAACTAGATAGAGGAGGGTTACAGGGACCATCCTAATACTGTCTCTATTTATTTATTTCATGTTATTTTTATAAAGGTAAAAAATGTCAGATGTTAATTCTCAAGTACCAGTTGAGAGCGAGGCCTCACAACAATCATCGCTAGCTACTAACTCATCGTCTGCCCTCTCTAATCAAAATTTTATTGATTTAGAAGAAGAGTCTAATACTTGTGAAGGAACTAAAAGAAAACCTAGTGTTGTGTAGGAACACTTTAAGAAACAAGTCAATGGGGTGTGGAAGGCAATATGTAATTATTGTAATAAGCATCTTGGAGGTGATTAAAAAAATAGAACTAGGCATTTGCATGATCACTATAAGAGTTATACTATGAAAAAAGTGATGGACATGAGGCAAAAAGTTTTAACTAACAAACTTAATAGAAAGTGTCTAAAAATGAATTCTTTTATTTTTTTATCAAGATTTTGCTAGAAAAAAGTTGTCACATGCCATAATATTGCGTGC